GAATCTAAGTATTGGAGGCTTGTCTTGAATACTCCCCACCCCACCCCTGCCCCAGCAGGGAAAGTGGGGGGTGGGGGAAGGAAATCAGGTGGCTCCCTCTCTGCCCCACCACTTCTTCCCCCTGCAGCCTTCTTGACCCCTACCACCTGCACCCCAACCCCTAACTCCCCACAGCATCTGCTTTCCCCTCACTCCCCCAGTCTCTGCCTCTTCCCCTCTGCTCCCACAGCCTCCATCACTTCCCCCAGTCTCTTCCTCTATCCCACCAGTCCCTGCCTCTTCCCCTTCCTCCTGTTACCATCAGACACTGCTCAGGCTGCTGACTGGCTGAGCAGGCAATGCAGCAGTGTCCACACTGCTGACTGGCTGGGCCAGGGAAGGAGTTTCCATGTACTCTATGCCCAGGGAAGAGGGTGAGTGGGTGCAGAAGCTGCAGAGGAGCAGAGTGGGGAGCAAGAGGCTGCTGTGGGTCTGACTCTGACCCTGACCTGGGCTCAGGACAGAGAGTCAGAGCTGCAGCAGCCCCCTGCTCCCCCCTCCCTTTGGTATGAGAACATAAGGGGCTGTCCTCCCCCATGCTGTTGGGGAAGGAAACCTCATATTATATTTGGGTAAATATGGTACTTTAAAAAAAATATTATTGTGCAGAATGAATGTTGCAGTTTAAACTCTGCCTAGCCCAAGGGGCATGAAGGTTACTTACTGTAACATAATGGCAGGTCTTTGGGAGGGGTTGTCCAATTGTACATGTGGCAGTCGGGAGGTCTGCCTCATACACTCAAGCTGTTGGTCAGCAGGACCTGTACAGTGTGCCTGTGCTGTGATGCTCCTTATGCTTTGCACCAGGATCATGAAGGATGCTTCTCTCACTCCCTTTCCTCTCAGCCACGGAACTGCAGGTACACTGAGCTCCAAGGAAGAGGGGAAGGAGGGCTGGTTACAATCACAGGTAGGAGGATACTACACGCACAAACTAAGTTTGTATGAAGAGTACTGAAAAGGGCCACGCAATGAATTTCATCATTGCAAAACAGGAATCTATTTTCTATGAATGTCTCTAATATTGGGAAATATCAGTTTATATTTCTACAGAAGCTTTCATCCCAGATACCCATAGCCATCTAACAAACACACTGCCTGCTTACACATGTAGCACACCCTCCCTCCCAAATCGTGTTATACTTTAAACTTGGCATGTCCCCAAGCTGAGCCCAGTGCATGCCCAAAAGAGACATTGCGTTAGGCTGGACCCAACTCACCCAACGTCTGTATAGATTGGGCACTTCAGTGGGGCTTTTCTGGTGCTTGTATCTAATAGATGATTGAATCAGCTATTAAATACAAGCGCCAAAACGCCCCACTAAAACGTGCAATCTATACAGATGCTGAGGAGCTGTTGAACTAATGCACCGCCTCTTCTGGTAAAGTGCTGTTTCTTGGGTTTTTTCAATCTATCAATGCCCATTAGGCCTTAAAACTTCACCTTGAGATGAGTACATACCATATCTTTCATTATGGTGTATACATATTATTAAGGTGCATGCGTGTGTGCGTATAAAAATTGTAACTGTGGAACTAAAAGGTAGCCTAGTAACTAATCTAAAAAAGAACAAATCAGAGGCCTGAAGGTTCTAAAAATATTTGTGTTTAAAAGAAACTACTCCAAAGAGTGTGTACCAAAAAAAAAAAAAAGGATACGACTGGTTATTAAAAGAAACTTCTATTGATATAACCAGAAACAGAATTGTCTAGGTACTTTGACAGTGTTTTCATTTGCTAAAGATATTGAAGTTCTTGGTGAAGCTACTTTAAGGTACGTACTTTTCATAACCAAGTTGAACTGAAAGCGCTGACTGTTATCTTGTGTATGAAAATATTTCTTCTGCCTTTCCATTGAAAGGTGTGTGGAATTCAAGTCAGGTAAGTTCCAAAAAAATCAAATAAGCTTTCAGTGCTTTCACATCTAATTGAGGTAGAAGTTTTTAATGTGACTAAACAGCTGAATCTTTATAGTACAATTGATCCACAGAAGCTATTAAGGTTTTAAAGTATATTTGCTAGGTTTGGGGGAAAAAAAGATTGTATGTATTTAAACAATCTACTATTTTCATGCAAGAAAAACTCAAGGGGAAAAATGATATCTTACGTGCTACACCAAAAAAACAAATGTGTAACAACTGCAACAATGGTAGCTATTTACTATAATTATACTACAACCTAAAAGGAATAGCAGTATTTTTTTTACTGTATTGTCTTCTCTGTTTAAATGTACTTACAAAGGACACTGTAAGTGTCCAGACAGACATTTGCAATGGCACAATGAATATGTGCTTCATGAAATCGAGGCAGCAAAAGGTGCAAGGGAGACAGAAAAAAGGCTTACACCTGCTAGAGATTTTTAATTAATCTGCTTTTGACTGCTTAAAATATTACAATTGTCATGAAGGCTTTTTCATTTACTACTGGACACAGGAGTCACATGTTGATAAAACACTTGGAGTGGATTACAACTGTCGATGCAATGCTTCTGAAAAAGGCAGGATTGACAGTCCTGGGGACTGTAGTCAATCCCAGAAGAACTACCATATTAGCAGTCATGCAAGCTTCCCCATTCATCTGCTTCACTTCACTGCCCCACTTCTAAAGATGAAGATAGCAATCCAGGTCTCCATGGCCCTTTCAATTCTTGGCCAGTTATGCGAGACACTAATAGTATTGCCAAGTGCCAACTGCATGGATAGTTTTGTGCTGTACACACAGAACCACCAGGAACTATATTTCATAGAAGCCAATAAATGGTACCAACCAGTGCTGGATTTAGGCACGAGCTAAGTCTACAGCTTAGGGCCTCACATTTATGAGGGGCCTTTAAATAGGAAACTCCCCCCAGTAAAACCTCACAAATCCAATGCGCTCGGGACAGAGCACGTGCTGGAAATTTTAAAACACCATTTTTTTTTTTTAAACCAGCACTACTGCCAGTTGCAGAGCTTGCGGGGGGTGAGGAAGGGAGGGTAGTGGCAGCCGGTCCCAACTGCACACAGAACAGTGGCATGGGGTGCTCCACCCCCACCCCAGCCCCCTCCCCCTTAACCAGAAGTCTCTGCCTGCCACCCCTTTCGGGCTGCTCCAGCACCATGTGGTTGCATTGCCAGACCGTGGGAGCACGGGACACCCCAGACCCAGAAGTCGGGGTGTGCGTGTGAGAGAGAGACTGACTGTACGTGCGCGTGTGAGAGAAACTGTGTGTGCTGATCTGTGTAATAGCTCGTGTTGCTGTAGATTAAAAATTTTCATATATGCTAATTAAGAAATCATAAAGTACTTTAACTTGAAAGTACTTCATAATGCACGTGGGTGATTGGTGCCTCCAGTCAGGGGGGCACATGCCCTCCCCCCCCCGACACGAGTCACTGACCGGCAGCCGATCCCACTGACCGGGGTGGGGGGCCCGATCTCACCACTCGGGGGGAGGGTCCCCCACGGCTGATCTCACCGACCAAAAAAATGGCTGTGCCGCTTTCAGAAGTCCTGCAGGTGGCGGGCTTTTGCTGGCAGCCCCACGCCCCAGCCACTACTTGCAGGGGGGGACACTTGTTCTCCTACCTGCCCCTCTGCCCACTGGCTAAACATGGAGTGCAGCCTGACAAGGGGTGAACCAGCGCTTTTCCCCTGAACCCCCGTGCACCCCCTACGTGTTGTCACTGATAATACAAATAGGCTTATTGCAAGATATATGTTTTAGTTAGATTATTAGTTTTTTGTTGCACGTTTGCCTATGTATACATGCAAATATAAATCTTTAATATTTCTATTTTATTTGTCCTTTCTGTTAAAATAATACTTTTTTTTTTTGATAATGCTATGGGGCCTCTTAAGTTTGACATAGCATGTTATAATCCGGCCCTGGTACCAACTTTTAATTACTACTGGATAGGATTTCAGCCAGCAACCTAGAGATGAGAGATTCTATTTATTTGTAGTATAATAACACCTAGGGACCCCAGTGGCATCCCCTACTGTCAGACACTAATCAGACACAATAAAAAGACAGACTATACCCAGAGGAATTACAGTCCAAGTATAACAGAAGAGACAATAGATGGATACAACAAAGCAACTATAGTATACAAAAACAGTGGCCATATCATACCAGCTGCCTAATTTCCTGTACCCAGTCTCCAGCACCATTCATATTCCTCTTTAATATATGAATACATCTGAAACCTGCATTGGTCTTCTCATAAGGCACATCAGATACCACCAAATCTGTAAATGATAAAGGCTTGGAGGTGTCCTAAATCAACAGAAGAAAAGGATGTGGACCAATGGCATAAATTTGAAGAAAAATAAGTTTAGATCGGATATCTAGAAAAACTTCTTCACTGTCAGAATAGCAAGGCAGTGGAAGAGACTGCCTGGGGAAGCTGTGGACTCTTCATCACTGGAGGTGTTCAAGAGGAGATTGGACACAGCCACTGATCAGGGATGATCTAGGTATAGCTATGCTTATGTTCTACTATGGGTATTTCCCATGCTTTTGGGCTTTTCTGGTTGCCCCTGCCCCTCCCCCCCTTTTCTGTCACATGTGTCAGGGTGTTTTTAAGCCTTTCTAGAGGCACTGGGTGCTGGCTACAGCCAAGACTGGGGCTTTGGGGTGTACAAATGCTCTTGCTGGGACTAAACCTGGAGGTTCCTGGCTAGAGGGTCTTGCCCCTCTGCTCAGGGTCAGACTGGTCACATTTGGGGTCAGGAAGGAATATTACCCCATAGTCAGATTGGTATGGACTGTGGGAGTTTTTGCAAGGGGCATAGCCTTCTACCCAGGATCTATTGAGCGTATATTGACAACATTTCATAGAAGCAAGAAGTTGGCTGCTGTGGTTCCCCTGCTTTACCTGTGGCTGGTTCAGGTGCTCGGTCTGTGTTGTGTCAAGATTGATGGTAAGCTTCTGTAGAGTTTAGATTATGGTTTGTATTGGATGGTTTGGATGGGGAGGATCCTGCCTTGACCAGGGGGTTAGACTAGATGACCTCTAGAGGTCCCTTCCAGCCCTACCTCTCTATGATTCTATCCTTCATATCATGTTGCCAGAATAACTAGCTGCTTTTAAGGAGCTAACCACTCTTGCACTGAAACATCACAGAGACTTTCAGCACCATAATTTTTGTTGAGCTGGAGCTCTCTCTGCTGGATTTGGGTAGCTTGATTGAGTTTCTAAACAAGTTGTTCTATCAACTCACAGGAAATCCAGACACCACTAGAAAACAAACAAACAAAGTATTAACATTTTTAAATATACAACAGGGGAGCAAATTAGAACTTAGTCTATCAGTGCTCCAGTTAAGTTAGATCTACTAATGTGGGAAAAATCCAGTGAATATTAATAGTTACATCTGAAATAGGAGCTTGTGTGGCAGGACATCAAAGCAGCAATGACTGTTGAATCTAGTCAATGTATTATATCAAATTAAAATCAGTGAATCTTAGATGCACAGCTCGGTAGAGGTCAGTCTTACAGCAATGATTACATGAACTGTTTTTCCTTAAATCAATCTCCAGTATAGACATACAAATCAACACTGTAATTAGGAGCAGTTATTCAAGAACAGCTGTCTTCTCAAGCAAAGAGGGGACCACTCTGGGATACAGTTTTGGCTACTACCAAACTACTGCTGACAGGGAGATTTCTGCCTCTGCTTGCAAGATCCAGCTTGAATGCACAAGCCTGCTGTGCAATGTCTTCCACGAACTTTTACCTAGTGCTAATTTCAACCTCCTACACAAGTTATTCTCATTTTCCCGTGTTACTCAGTTACAAATGTGGTATCCAAGATGGCTTAACACAAAGTGTTATGCTTACAGCAAACTTGACAGCCACTGATTCAGAAAGTGGGATGAAGGATAAACAAAGCACACAACCAAATACTGCAGCCAGCAGAGAAGCCATCAGCACCTGAAAAACGGAAAAGTTTTTTATCTTAGGATCTTTGCGTGGCCTATGTCTAGCACTGTTGGGCTTTATCAGATTCTCCCAGTAAAGAATCCAAACCCATCCCCAAAGTGGAGGAGTCAGTTTTAAGAATCTAAATCACTCTGTTAGATCCAGTTGTTCAAAGAGATCCCTTGTTGTGGCATAATGTCACTTTAACACCCACAAGTCCAATGTAGCAGAGTCTTCCTCACTCCAGAGTGGCAGTCCCCATAATTCTGTCATGAAAGGAATGAAAAGTCTGATTTAGCAGCTGAGTTTTCCGCTATGCTGGGAAGATTTGGAAAGTACTTCTTTGGTTGGCAATGCAGCAGGAACAGGTTGCACAAATAAGGGGATTATACTGAAAACACCCTTTCCTTAGTTCTAGGAAGGTCAGTTCTAGTGACAGCAAAAGCAACTCAGCAGCTGTCAGTGGCAACTTAGCATCTCCCCTGGAAGTGCTCCCACGGAGCTCCACCCTCCTCCTGTCCATGTCTCAGGAGGAACCTAGAAAGAAGGGTGTCAGCAGGACCAGGAACATCGACTCTTTTTGGCAACAGGCTGAGAGCCAGGCTAGAGAGGTAACTTATGCTCTTTGACACCAGCTGGGTGAATGTAACCAACTGAAAGAGCTGTGTTCTAAATTATGAATTTTGCGCCTGGTCCTGAGGATTAATAATCCAGTCACTGCAGCCCATATCCTGTGTGGCCTTCCCCCAAACAGGGTGGAAATGGCAGGAAAATTACTGGAATGGTCTAAACACTATCTGATGGAGTGTTACCCCCTGCATTACTCCCTCCCATTGCCACCTCTGTGAGATGAGCTTCTCTTTAGGATCCCTGTCTTTTCAGGGGAGACCAAAATGAGGTCGAGCATGATTTGGCTATAAATCTTTCAGGAATATGGGAAGGAAGTAGCAGAAAATGGGTTTTTTAGACTGTATTTTACATCAGCTTTTTCAGTGGTTTTCAACCATTTTAAACTCTAGACATACCTTGGAAAATGCCAGTTCTTCATTTCCATTGATTTTTTGACCACAGAAGAATAACAGAGCAATTCTTCTTTTGCAAAGAACTCAGAAAGACCATATCAGGTCAGAATGGTTTGACACTATGCATTTGAAATTGCTGGGCTTTTCTTGTGAATCATTCTCTTATGAATTTTCTGCACACCTAGAGTGCTAATATTGTGTGGCACCCTTAAAAGGCTCTTTTAACACTCCAGGATGCCATGGCACCTTGGTTGAGAATCACTGAGCCATTTATTAGCATGGCATGATACTACCTGCAGGGTTTCACTGTAAACATTACCTGGGACTTCCTATCTCTTGTGGCTGGTATATTCATCTCGTATCATCCCAACTGTCCATATGGAAGCCCAGCTCTCACTACTGCTTTTTAAATGATGAAGAAATGGTAGGATTTACTCTCTTCAATATGAGAGTGAGATTTGACAAGATTAATGCTGCCTGCGCATGTGAGATGCAGAGGAAGCTTGCAATGAGGCTAGTGACAGCTGAAGCAGACATGCCTCATAGCTCATGTGTAAGACAGGCAGAGGGGGTTTTAGGAATGTGCAGTTTTCAGGTGGGAAAGCTGCTTCCCAGACCTGTATTTTTTGTGAAACGATGTCTGATTTTCCTGGTAGGAAATAATACCGTATGTGTGGCAATATGCAGGTAACACTTTCTCTGCTACTGAAAGTGGTCAGCTGAAAAAACTACCTGCCTAGGATGATGGTCATGGTTCAGTTTCTCCTAACTGTGTCTTGAAAAAGTAGAGGCCAACATTTTCTGATGTTAGTGCCTGAAGTTAGACATCTACATTTGTACTTATGCAACTAAAGAAATAACTGCCTCCCTCCTCCAGACAGCTGACTGCCCAAAGTTTCCACTGAAGCTGACAAGAGTTGTTTGTACTACGTGGCCACTCTAGAAAAATAGGACCACTATTAGATTGTTGATTTACAGCCACATGTTAAAACATGCCAGCCAGACTTTTTAATAAGATACGAGTCCAAAATAAGGGCCTGACTTGTCCTGAGATCCTGATATCCCTACAGAATGCAGATGCCCATGCCTCTCGGGACAGAGAAGGAGCGATTACTCACAGCTTGAGGCTGGGGTACGCATTGACTGAGTGGTGCCTGCACCGTCTTGTGCATCTTGGATGCTGGTCCTGGCGCCATCTAGTGCCAGCTGAAGACTCTGAAGCTGCAATGCATTGAGAGACTGGCTCTGCAATTTGGTAACCATGGCTGCATTCTCAGGGCCAAGGTTTGCTATTTGTTCTGGGGAGAGTGCCTTGAGGAATAAGAATCAGAAAAATTGCTTTAGGAGATCTGTTACATTACCTGGAATTGGAGATACACACTGTCTTATAGCTAGAAAGGGAGAAAAAGCCAAATAGGCCAAATACACTACATTGCTATATAAATGCTCAATACTGCTGCTTTTTTTCTTTTTCTTTTTTTAATTCCATTTGTTTGCTTCAAAGACCACTCATGTATCCTTCACCTTTCTCCCTGCTTCTGTGGTGGAGATAATATGGATATTCTTGCAATACACTGAAAGTATCTAACAATCCAGTATTGTTCTGGAGTCTCATTTTCAAACCACTTATTTTGGGATTTGCTCAAAGACTGATGCTCTAGTGCATCCTAATGCATTTTTGTTTCTTTCTGCTTATATTGGCTTCTACGGCTTCCCCATCCTTCACTATATATGATGCATGTGACATGTTATTCTGCTGCCAATGCAACAATAAAAGGAGAAGATGTTCTATTATTTTACTACCAGATTATTTTTTTCCTTCTAAACTGAAAGTCTTCCAAGTTTGGTCATATTAATTCTTGTTGTAAAAATGGAATGTGGTAATCACAGTATTAGAGCAGTTATCTTACATTGCTCTAAACTTTCATCTACAGCACATGCTGTATTGCCCTGAGTGATAACTGCTAACATTCAGCATTTAGAAGAGTTCTAGCCCAACTACGTAGCAAGACGTGTTTGTTGTTGTAGTGAACCAGCCAAGTTCTATTTGGATAAAGGGCCAAATTTCTTTTAGAAAAGAGGCAAGCCACAAATCAACCCCTTTCTTGTCCTGAATTGGTTTTGGCCAAGTCTGTGTCAAAACTTGATAGTTTCACTAGTCTGCATTTCTGTGAAGCTGTGCAAACTCCTGTGGGGGCATTTACAAAGTGGTGAATGAATCCATAACCCATCTGTCTTGTTAAATATAGAGGACCCTACGACAACATAAGCTGAAGCTACACAAAACCTGGTCAAAGACAAATGCCCTTCTAAATTCCTGAAGCTGATGTGGGAACAAAACCACTGCCTGTTCTGTGTAGTGGTGTGTCCCTTTAGAAATATCCTCCTTGTCAGAAATCTAGCACATTGCTAGGAGTTGGGAAAAGTCCTCTAGAGTCTACAGAATACCTTCAAACTCTGCTGCAGATTTTCACCAGTCCAGAACTAAGAGCAATAGTATAGGAGAAAGCTGCTGACTTCATCTGAGCTGTCAAAGATGCTGTATAGAATGGCTAGTGTTCAAGGAGTGTGTCTTTTTTTATGGAGGCTTATATAGTTAAATTATCTGCTTGGTGCATGTGTTCTTCCTTACAGAACTGTTGAAGTGGAGGGGTTTGGACAGCTTCAATTTTCTCTCTGAGTCAAATACACAGGGCCTAGGTCAGTGACCTCAGCATTCACATTCTAGAATCTGGGTCACATTTGGTACTTATGCAAACAGGTACAATTTCAATGAAGTCAGATGTACCAATTCCGAACTCAGCTGCACTTATTTCAGGGGGAGAAATGCTGCTCTGGAAAGCTGCATCAAATTTCAGGGTTAACAAAAAACCCTGAGTGTAACCAACAGGTCAGTTTGCAGCTGTGACTGTATTGGTGAAAAAGTTAATTCCTTTTAATAAATAAAGGAGAAGATGACCAGAACCTTGAATCCACAGAGATAGACCTTGCTATAAGCCATCTGACCTCCCTGTCCTCAGGCTGGATTTTTACACCGTTTGTTAATGCTGTTTCCTTGGAATACATTTCATACTAAATATAAATACAACCAGTTTGACACATGTTATGGGCATCACAAACAAATGATATAGTTGAAAGTTAAAGTTTCATACATTTGACTGCCTCTCACTTAATAAACAAGACAGAAACCTCTGTGCTGAAACCCCCAAATAAAGCATAAATTAGTGTTGCAGTTTATTTATAACAGAATAAAAATGATGGAAAATTTCACTTCTTCAGTAACCGAGCACTTACTTTGAAAATTTCAGCAGGTATATGTCTTATTGCTGCTGGCTGGAAGTATGGCATAAGGTCTTTATCAAGAGCTTTTAATTCCTCTTCATGCAAGCCACCTACAGAAATGCAACAGGAATAGAACTTAGTTGATATTCTTTTAATTGGGGGAGTTTTAGGCAAATGTGTTTCAAGTACTAATACATCTTAGACAGTATTTGTTCTTAAAATAGCTCCCATTAAGACAAAGGGAAATCATAATTCCCATATCAAATAGAAAAAAGGAGCCCCACTGCCCTGATATAAGTGCTCGAGGTTGAGGATCCTAACCTTAAGAGGCGTATTGTAATTTAAATTAGCAAGTTATAATTTAAAGGCAAATATGTTATTTCCTTCCTGCCCCTTGCTTTCTTTCATTGTATTCCAACACCACAAACCAACTGACAAGAAGGCTCATCTGGAGCACACAAGACACAAATAAAGAATTATACCATTACTTTACAAGCAAACATCATCCGTGCAGCAATGATACAATAACTGAAGTTTGTGGTGCTGTTCTCTGCAATACAGAATTACAGGATACCACCCCCAAAAGCTCTAAATAAAAGACTCTATGATGCAGACAATGCCCACTGGCAAAGGAAGCTTCATAGTTTGTAGGGTTGGAAGGGACCTGAGCAGATCATCAAGTCCGACCCCCTGCCATGGCAGGAAAGAGTACTAGATGTTCATCTAGCCTCCTCTTAAAGACCCCCAGGGCAGGAGCTAGCACCACTTCTCTTGGAAGTTGGTTCCAGCTCCTAGCTGCCCTGACCGTGAAGTAGCACCTCCTGATATCTAGCCTAAATCTACCCTCTGCCAGCTTGTGACCGTTATTTCTTGTCACTCCTGGCGTGCTCGGGGGAACAGGGACTCCCCCAATGCCTGCTGGTCCCCCCTGACTAGTTTGTAAACGGCCACTAGATCCCCCCTCAGCCTTCTCTTGTGGAGGCTGAACAGGCTCAGGTCCCTTAACCTCTCCTTGTAAGGCCTGCCCTGCTGCCTGCTGATCATGTGAGTGGCCCTCCTCTGGACCCTCTCCATGTTGTCCACATCCCTC